TCTCTCTCTCTCTCTCTCTCTCTCTCTTCAAGCAGTGCTGAAAGCACCACACATCTTTTCCCTTTTTTTCCTTTTAAGAAAGCTAAGCTATATATTTTTTTCTCCTCTCGATTATACCTCACGCTGCCTACCTATATGTCTAAGCGCAGCAGCCCATGTCTAAACACAGTGAGATCGAATTCTACCAGGTTTAGAGACAGGGCATACTCACGCTAGCGCTTTGTAAATGAATCTGACTGCAACTACGGACAGACCTGGAATGAACCTGACTGCGATCACGTCCAGAACATAGTAGACAGTCTCCAAGTGCGAGTAGACCCACAGTCTCCAAGTGTGAGTAGACCCACAGCCGAAATCTACTACTGTCTTCACCGGAATAGAACGGCCGGTCATTATCGCTGCATCTGGACAGAAAATGGCCCCAAATACGGCTATAATGACCGGGTGTTATATTCGGGTGAAGACGGTAGCCCTAGAAAGTAACCCTTATCGAGGAATGGCGGGGGCGAAGGCCTCCGAGAGAACCGAGGACCCTACCAAAGCTGAGCATGGCGGGCAAGACAACTATCTCAGCTGATGAACCAGCAAACACGCCGTGGGTGCCTTGAACCCACGACCTCCTGACTGCCACTTTCATGCGAAAGCATCTGAGCTAGGCCGCAAAGCAGTGCTCCTATCGTGTCATCAACCAGCAAAAGTGTGGCAATGATGGTTTTGCCCCAACTCGTCACTTTCGAGGAGCAGCTACTTGCCAAGGCTTACCGTGTTTGCCTACCAAAAGGAAAGCCGCAAAAAATGTACCTGCCAAAACATCCTACCGCTATGCTAGGCAAGAAAATAGGGACTGTACGTGGAGGTCCCGGGTTCAAATCTCCCCAGCTTTTTCAGAACAGAAAAGAAAAACAAAACAACAGAAACTTGACAGCACAGTTGTTTTGTTTTTCTTGGAAACAAAGCTGTTTGTTTCCAAGTTCAAATCACACGTAACATATTTGCAAGAACAGCAATCTTAGGTGTTATAGAAAAGAAAGCTGTGACAAAAGTAGGAGAACCCTCGTATACATCAGGTGCCCACATATGAAAAGGAACTGCAGTTATTTTCCATAAAAAACCTATAGCAATAAATAAAATTCCCATGACCCTGCTTTGTTTGGTTCCAAGTTCAAATCCTGTCGATAACAAAAACAGAAGAAACTTGACAGCAAATAATTGGGCAGGTTGCAGGTTCATATCCCACAATCCCAATGAGAGAGAGAGAGAGAGAGAGAGAGAGAGAGAGAGAGAGAGAGAGAGAGAGAGTAGGACTGGTTTAGAAAGATTCTGATGGATTAGAATGTGCGTGGTGATATGGGTGTTGTGGTGGTTGTGTGCAGCAAAGGTGGGGACCCAGGTTTTCATTCCGTACCGGGGAACGGATATGGACTACATGCACCTGAAACCTATGGGTGATTTGGGACAGGTAAGGTCAGTCAGGCCATGAAATCTTTTTCTATTTTTCGTCGTTTTCATGGAAGTTTGTGCGCTGAGCCTTGAGAGACATTTTTTTTTTTCTTTGGGAGTTCCGGGATGCATCAGCGAGCAATGGAGATCATTATTTTCAATGTCGGATATTGAATCGTTGATGTTTTGACTTTTCTTTTTTTGTTTTTTCTTTTTGGGGGGGGGGGGGGGGGGGGGGGGGGGGGGAGTTCTGGTATTTTTGTATCCTTATGGAGTTGTTAGTGTACATCTTCAAATCAGCTTGAGATGCATTGAATACGGAACGTGGAATGCTGGAACTGACTCTCAAGCTTGGCACCTTTGACTGGGCGGGACCTTACGCAGCGGGACCGCCGGGATGGTAGCTGACGACGGGGGAATTACACTACAGTTTTCCCCCGAACAAAACACACGTATGTACTATTCAACTTTCCCTGGAAAAGTCCATTTCTCAAAGTTCCCCCGGGAAATCCAAATAGTACGCTTATATGTTCTATTCGAATAGTACGCGCACACGTTCTATTCGAACGGACAGGTGTTCTATTCGAATAGAAGTTATAGAACACATGGGTGGCGGCTCTCTCCCTCCCTCTTTCTCTCTCTCTCTCTCTCACACACACACACAAAACCGCCCTATCGCTCCCGCCTGCCTTACGCGCCCGCTCGCTCCCTCGCGATTGCTCCCGCCCGACTTCTTGACGGGCTGTTGTGTGTGTGTGTGTGTTTTACATTCGGACCATTTCCCGATTTATGCCTGCCATCCTTGCACAGAGGCCACTCTAATCTCGAAGGACAAATACGGATACAGGGTACTATTTTTTTGGGGGGGCCCGTTTTCCGAAAGCTGGTACCCTGTATCCGTAGCATAACGCACGTGCGTTATATTCGAATAGAACACACCCCGTACGTTCTATTCGTAATTAACGGACTTGCGTTTGTTTGGGGGAAAACTGTAGCATCACCGGGGTGATTACATTCGCCTCACCGTGCGAACCAGTTAGTCATCCAAGGAAGGAATGAATGGTGCAGTTTTCAGAAACTCAGTTTGAGTGCCCGAGCTATTCCAGTCCCAGATCTCTTCCAGTCCCACATCTGTTCCAGTCCCAGATCTATACCAGTCCCATGTCTATTCTTGTACTGCGGGAACAGCTTCCGTCGGCTACTGTCTCGGTTTCGTGTGCATTCTGTGAGATGGTGGCGATTGGCAAAACCTGGAAAAGACACGCGAATGGTTTTCCGTCTGCTAAGCATTGCCTGTGGCCTTTGTGCAAGCTATGATTGCAGATTGTTCCCAGAGAGTTCAGTTTGCGGGACGAGAGCTCCATTCGAGAAGCGATTGGACAGTCTAATATTGTAATCAATTTGATTGGTAAGTGGAAAAGGGTGACCGCAGAAGGGTGATGAACCACGTTCGGGTTTCTTCAATGAATGTGCATTGATTTGGATTCACTGTGAAGAGTAAAGCCCAGTATGGTATCTCCTTTCTTGGGGTTTTACCGTCTGATGTGTACTATCTCCTATTGCTAAGTTGAATGATGGTTCCACTGCTGTGGGGGAAACAGAAGGGGAAAAGTGTTGGCGAGGTGTGAAAAGAGGTACAAAAAGACGATGGATTGGAGAAACTGGGATGCTGCGCTGGGATAAGCAGAGGGATGAATTGCCCGAGCACGCTGCACATATTTTCAACAGATGCCTGTGGAAGTTCGTCAGGAGACGTTTGCCCTCATGGGAAAACTGGGGGAGAAGGCTAGGAAGTTGGTAGGTAAGTGGGGGATACGAGGGAAATGAGTAAAACCATAAGGGAGGGTCCTAGGGTGGGAGTGGGGGTTGAACAACGTAAAACCGTAAAAGTGAGCGGGTAAAATTGGGAATGTGCCGACTTACAGAATGGCCCGAGAGGGAAAAAAAAAATAAAAATAAAAATAAAATAAAGAATGGCCCGAGAGGCGGCCAGAGAGGAAAAATAGGAGGGCTAAGGACCTGACCAAGAAGAAGGCGGAATGGTAAGGGGGTAAAAAACCGGCTGGGACTGTAGAGGCAAAAAATAGGCCTGGATGGATCATCTGGAGGGTGGTTTGATCTAGGGGCCAGCTGAAGGAAAAAAAAATAATGGCAAAGGGACATGCCTAGGAAGTGCCGAATGGCTAGACTGGCACCAAAAAATGAGGAGGAAGGTTCCAGAGGGAATAGATCTAGGACCAGGACCAGGGAATAGATCTAGGACCTAGCGGGAACTGAAAGCGAAACGCTACCGCCAAAGTATAAATAACGTAGTATAGGACCCCTTTAGTCATCTCGAATCCCCCTGATGACGTCATGCTGACTGGCGGTGACAGAGACTAGTCGGGGAAAGCCAGGCGTCTATTCTGTTTGGGAGGGAAAGTCTCTGATCTGACGGTGGGAGGAAGACGTTTGCCATATAGCTTCTACGGTATCACTACTCGGGGCGATCTCTATATTCTCTTGGAGTAAAATTTTCGAGATTTCTCTAACGTATTGCTTGCCGCGTAACACCGGCTATGTGCTTTGCGCGTGTCAGACTCTACGCTGACTTGCTTACTATTACATAATTATTAATTACACACTTCTGTCTCTGTTTCGCAACATCTGTGCTTGATCATTTGTTTTGTGTTGCCTCCGCGCTGGAATACATTTGTTTTGTTCTTTTCTTCTGTTTCTGTGAGACGTTAGATCCTGACATGATCTTATTTGTTTGTCTGATTCCGCCAGTGTCTGAACTTCGCTCTCTGTTCGCTGCAGTTACATGTTTGTACCAATCACTCACATGGGCTGGGTATAGTACCAGAATATGTTATTCTGGCAATCTTCCTGAGGAGGAGAAGTCAGTCTTGTATATTGTGTGTGTGTGTGTGTGTGTGTGTGTGTGTGTGTGTGTGTGTGTGTGTGTGTGTGTGTGTGATGACTGAAGTGCTGTCCATTGGCTGATCCTTGGTTGTTGTGTATTTTATTTCTCCAGGGAGAGATCATGAGACGCGCAACTTCAGTTTTGAAGACGTGTATGTGACCGCACCGGCAACAATTGCACGGGTCCGTTCATAGAATTCTGCCAGGCACTTTGGAGGGTGGGGTGGAAAATACCTGTTTTACCATTTTTTCATGAAATTCAGTACATCTGTACTGCCTGATGCACATCGGTCGGATTCGCTCCTTCCCCCCCCCCCCCMCCCCCCACCCCSCYYYYCCCCYCTSCCTTCCCTCCAACCCCTGCTTCCTCCCCCCCCTCCCATCAGGCAATCCCACCCCCTAGCACGTGCTCCTCTCTTCGTTGGTCGTTGAATGTGAAATCAGGCTAACGGAGGGCCGCTGAACATCCTTTGTTCTTTTGGCCTGACTACGGCGATTATTCAAAAGGTGCCCAACCGCAGATGGATTGTCGGCGGGGCACTTCTTCACCACACACAAAGGTGGCCCACCTTTCACTCATTGTTAATAACTCTAATTGGTTTTGTAATTGTAAATGGCATCAGGAGAGATGGGGGGATAAATAAAGGGGTAATATTTGTTGATTGCTCACCATGCTTAGCATCAACGCCTCGGCCACAGTCTCTCAAAGGCATGGCCAGAGGTAGGAGACGACGGCCCCTCAGTCCCCCCTACTTCCAGTTCAAATGCGCATCGAACGGCTCAGATTTGGGACTGGAAATTGCAAAATTGTGAAAATAGCGAATTAGCGTGCCTTTAACCGGGCACTGATGCGCACTCTCCTCTCTCCTACTCGTGCTCAACCACCACCACACAGCGCTTTATTGGCGCTGGTCTACTGACTCCACTCCCTGGCGTGGAGAGGAGGGGGGGCCGGGCGGGGCGGGGCGGGGCGGGGCATGGGAGTTGCATTTGGCTTGTAGCTTTATATAAATAAATCATAATCTCTATCGCTCTGCATTTTTACATTCTTTGGGCTGGAGTAGGGGATGTCCCGTTGGCGATCCTTAACAGCCAGCGCACACACGAGGCTGGGTAAGCGGTGTGTGGTTCGGAAGGAAGGGCTCATGATCTTATTATTGTGAGTTGCGATGCACACTTTTTGTTTTTTTTTTGTTGTTTTTTATTCCACTTTGAAGTCGTGAATGAGTACTTCTTACTTCTTTCGACTCTTTCGAGTAATGCTGTATGGTGCGCTTCGAATTTTGGAATTTCTTTTCTGTGAAACACTGGGACAAAAAAAGGAAACACCGAAATATGTATGCAAATAAATTGAAATAATGCAACATCATAGTAATAGTCAACTGTCAAACATAAAGGTAATTACTAATTAGTAATCACTAATTACGATTCAGAGAATTTCAGACTCGGTTTAGTCGTTTGATTGCAGGAGGATTTGAACTCCGGTCGGTGGTTCATCAACAGGTCATGAGTGTGTAGTACCAGTCAGCGACACGGGCTTGTGTGTATGTGTAAGATAACAGTGAAACTATGGTCTCTGGAGTCTGGACTTCGTTTTTTATTTGTTTCTGGGCTGCAGGGCATTTTAAAATTTTCAACATTTTAAAAATTTCAACCATGGTTGCATCCCTGCCGACCGCCGACCCTGACTGCCAACCGTATTGCAGCAGACCAGTAGGGCCGACCAGTCAGCGGTCTGCTGACCAGTCAGAACAACCACACTATTTTTTTTTCAGATCTGAGTTGGAAGCTGTACTGCGCTTGCTGAGTACAGCCCAAATCCGCTGAGAAACTTTTGGGGATGGGGGGGGTGGGCGGG